AACGGGATCATTGGCATGGGTGGCAAGACAGACTAGACCCGATTTGGGTTATCGTGTGAGCCGCCTACAGTCCAGTATTTCTGGAGCGACAGTTGCTATTTTGCACGACGCAAATGCCGTAGTACAGCTGGCACAACAAAGCATTGAGAACAAGCTCATTTTTCCAGGTGGACATCTAACCTGGGGAGAGGTTGGTATCATTACAGTAACAGATGCTTCATTTTCAAACGAGAAGAACTACAAATCACAACAAGGACGTTTCCATTTTCTTGGAGACATCAATGAGATCAAAGACCCCAAGACTACATCCTACAGGGTGATGCCATTGGGATTTGCATCAAATACAATTCGACGAGTATGCCGCAGCACTCTTCAATGCGAGGCTTATTCACTGCAGGCTGGACAAGAGAGCGGTGACAAGCTACGTGGAGCATTGGCCGAGCTGATGGGCCAACTTGACTCGATGAAAACATGGTTGGATGACAGCCGCAGCTGTATTCCACAACTGATGCTTTCAGACTGCAGGTCTTTAACAGACCATCTTGCGAATGAGGTACTCGGCAGGGTCGCAGACAAACGACTCGGCATTGAGTTGCAGTCAATTCACGAGTCACTTTGGCAAGACGGCCGGAGGACCTGGGATGTGCATCATGGCGGAGGAGACATTGTTACCTGGATTGCTACAGGAACTATGGTCTCGGATGCTCTGACCAAGAGCATGCGCCCGGACCTCATTATCCGCGTCTTGAAGGAGTGCATTTATCGTGTACAGAAGAAGCCTTAGAGCCAACTTTTTCACTAGCATCATGTGATCCTTGAAGAACAGGTTGAGTGTGAGTTTGACCTGTCTAATGTATATTTTGTATAGCCAAGTGATCACATGCCCCGTTGACATTTGGCTTTAGGGCCCTTGAGTCATACCGCGCTGCCGTGGTAAAAGTTGGGCATTTGACGATCCCGTTTCCAATTCATACCTGTTTTTCAATCCCTGGTGCCAACACGTGACGTAGCTGATGCTTACAGTCAAACCCTGAAGTGGAACATCAGCACAGTCTTGACGTTCATCAAAAGAAGTCTTTCTTAAAGGGTCTGTATCGCATCTTGCACACAACGGAAAAAGATGTGTTGACGATGTGGTGTTGCAGGAGTAGAATGCTTCTGGTACAAAGCCTCAGGTCATGAGATTCCTCTGCTTTGGAGCGTCCAATTGGTGTACGTTTGGACCATCAAATGGAAGACAAATGGACAGAAGATGACAGAAGCTAAGAATATCGCTGCCTGGTTGGGCTCCAAGTCTTGGAACTTCGAAAAGCCAAGCACTGCTTCGCCCAGGTCGCTGCTATTGAAGCGAATGAATCAGCCTCCAGGTCCTGCGAAGTAGAAAGCTCTACGTAGTACACCAAGGATGGATCAACGAACACACATTAACAAGTGAAAACTTCTGAAAACCTTAGGCATTCTCCACACTGTATGACGACAAAAAAATGGTCTTGTAGTGAGTGGCTTGTAGCTGCAATCCTGCAGACAGGCATTGGTACACCAAATTCTCGATTGGTCCGAATTAGTCCATGCCTTTTTGTTCCATTCTTCTGCAGAGTTATTGCACCTAGGAAGGCCTGACAAAATCCGAGAACTCCTGTCCTTGTGATTCACAGCTTCCTGCATGATCTGCATGTCACATGCAAAGGGTTCCTTTTTGACATTCACACCATCAGCAAGTTCTTTCTTCACTGAGCTTGGACATCTTGGATCCTCTGCCGCCTCTGCCCTCATGATCTTTTGCATATCTCCACCGGTCAGGCGTCGGCGCTTGGCTACCTGCAAGTTTGAGCAAGTTTGAGTGCGCTTGGCATCCACTTCAATCTCCTCTTTCATCATGACTCCCTGCATCAGGATGTCACTCTCAAAATTTGCTGACATCATGTCTTTTTCCAGCTCCTCCTTGATCTCTTTCTTCACCCACAGCCAGATTTCGTCCATCTCCATCCTCCCTCTCGTTGGACTTTCGTGTTTCATTTCCTGCTTGGATGACTTCTTCGTCTTCATGGTCTTTTGCACATCACTGGGCCAGTGAGGCAAACGTGTAACGTGCATGGCAGAAAATGATATATCTTAGGGCCTTAGGGCGACTCCATGGCTCCTGCTGCGGTAAGATTCAGGTTTCCGAGGCCGGCCGTTGCCGGGCCAGGGCTGCTCTTGGGAATGGAGAGCCCAAATGTGCATCAATTTGCGACATAATTTGCAACATGGGACATGAAAAGGCCGAAAATATATGAAAATATGACGATTGTACAGCAGTCGCAAGAACAATTGGTCGATTTAATCACGTCTTACAAGTGTGAAAACAGTTGGCCGGCTCTACCGGCTGCAACATGAAATTGGTCTCCATGGGCAGCAGTAGCCGTAGCCAGCTGAGGCAGGGGCGGCATGCTACCCACACCCGGCGTGTCTGCTACCTGAAATCTATTCAATCTATTTCAATCTCCCGTCATTGTTCTGTTCATTGTATTCTGATTCGGGCTGATTCCCGTAGCATTCATGAGCTCCAGAATTTTTTGGGCTGGAACGCAGCAGCAGGATGTTGAAAAATCTGGGCGCGCCACTCCCCAGATCTTCTCCCGAACGGTTCTGGCACGCCTCAGAAGGGGTCGCCGGGAAATCTGCAGAAGTGTCCAACCAAGGAGAACAAAGAACAAGACAGAAAATGGTGGCTCTGACTAGTACCGGACCTGCGAGACCTGCTGCGTCCACAAATCTCTGAGCTCAATACTCTCGAACCTCTGGCTCACTTCCCATCGGGGAGTCCTGCAAATTGCACATCTCAGCGGGCGAAGGCTGATATCTGCATGGAATCGCCTGACCCTCCATGGCCGATGAGATTCCGTGGGGAGCTATGGATCTATGGCATGGAATACCAACTTGACCAAGGTGACACAGATGAAATATGTACGGTATGATCATGTATGATCAAGTTGTGACTCATGGGTAGCAACTGGCAGATATGCAATTCTATCCCACTGATTCAGGGGACTTAGTCCAGTTGCTACCAATATTCCACCCACATCCAAACACATCCAGACTTCAAGCATCATCGTAGTGAAAGGGAGCCCACTTTTCCACAGCACTTTTTCCCCTCTGGCACGTACTGGCAAATCGATCGCGACATTCTCCTTTGGCCGAATTCGAACCGGCACGTCTCTCACGTGTACCCTGAAGGGTGCACGAATCTCAAGTGGCCTTGCAACAGGGGTACGCGTGCAAAAATCTACATAGTCACTGCAGCCTTTGGTTGCGATCAGCACTTGACATAGTCATAGGATCCATCGAATGTATTGGTGGCATATGTCAACGAACTAGCGAAAACACTAATGATACGTGTTGTCCATTGTTTTTCAGTGTCTATGCAGCGCCGCAATCACTTCAAGCATGGACCAAAACTGGGGTAGACTAAAAATGGAATAGCCGCATTGCCGATGCTCAAGACTCACATGCCAAAATGTGGGGGTCCCAGCCAGTCCGGAGGTCTCAAAATTTGAACCCATACAGTTATCATACAGTTATCCGATGTTACCATCCAATGAATAATTGCATATCATATTGTACATCTCTATATATATATATACACGTGATATGATATGATATGATATGATATGAGATGAGATGAGATGAGATGAGATGATATAGGTATCACTGGAGGATGATCCGCACACGACCCCACTGCGCCATGTGGCACCCGGTGCTGCACTCCAACGGAGGTCAAGGACTCCACTTTGGGGTCGGCCAGAGGCAACACTGAGAGGTACCAAGGCACCAGCGCATGCCAGCAGCAGCCTCCCTTACTGGGTACGGAATTGTAGGGTACCGATTGGGTACCGATTGTGTGGATTGAAAATGATGTAAACTTGGAATAAACATAAAATCTAGTAAAATCTGACAATAAAATGAGCGGGTTGGAATGGGTTGGAACAAAGTCCTGGAAAGTGAATAAAATGAGGCAAGGAGGCTGAATCAAATCTAAAGCAGCAGAAGCCTGAGTTCTTCGTATAGAGCTGCAGGTCACAGCAGTGATAGGAGACGCATTGAAAAGTATTGAAACATTCGTTAGCTAACCAGCCACCTAGTGACGACAACATCTTTAGCTGCTTAACCTGGGCGTCCGCTGCGTGTTCTGAAATGTTCTGCATTTGCAAATGACTGCCATGAGCAATCAGCATCAATCAGGCAGATGGAGGGGAACCTATAGCGAAGTCCATGATCTTCGTGCAATTGGCGAAAATTGGCGAAATCTAATCACGCTTCACCGCGCGGCACCTCTCGGCACCCCTCCACCCACCCCCTACTCTGACCGGCACTTTCCATCAGTGCCAGGTCAGTATCAGAGGCCCTGTGGCCATCATTGGCGCATCTTTTTTACTTGCACCCATCGAGCAGGAAATCAAGTGGATTCAAGCAGTAAATGGCAGTGCTATCACGCAACAATGGCCAAACCCCTCAACATTTATGTGCGTATGATTTGTTCCAAGGTTTCACGATATCCAAAGGTTTGGCTTCCAAGGTTTGGAGATAAATGGTTCCTGTCGTGGGCCACGGCGCACGGTCAGCTTATCAGCTCACATGGGCCGCACCATCATCGGCCTGGACCAGGGTCAATACTAAACTAACAAAGAACCTCAGGGAAGACTCGAATGGTACTGTAAACCATTGTAAAACAAAAAATGTAATGAGGATTGCTGTGGTGAGTGCTCATGTAAGTCATGTAAGAGTCATATATATAAAAACTATTATAAACTGCATATATCTTGTCAAAGGCCCACTTTCGATTCCGCGCCTCGGCACCGACATGGGTCTCATCTGCATGCCCGGCACTTGCCCCGGTTGCCCCGGTTGCCCCGGTTGACCCCCCGGTCCCATGAAGCGCGGAGAGATCAAGGCAGTGAGCCCCGGCCGCGCCTCGATCTGACATGACACCGCTAGATTCATCTAGATTCCACGTATGCATATTATGCAGTGCATGTAATGTACATGTATATAATTGTTATATATCTACACAGGAAAGTTTCCACAATTGATGCAGTTATCGTTGGGATAAACGGAAACAGCTTAGCAAAATCAGTTGGGTGGAGGAGCTGTGCCTGCATAGGCTGCATAGGCTGCATCGGCTGCATAGGCTGCATAGGCTGCATCGGCCTGCCAGCAAGGTGCGTCAGAGTGTCAGAGTCAGCTTTTTGTTGACAGTCCCAAAAGGTTGCCTCGAAGAGGTCTTGGCGCAAAACCACCATGTTCAAAGGAATCTCATCTGCAAATGGTAGGTTTTCCATGGTTTTCCGATACAACTCATACCCTCGCCTCATAGGCATCAACGGCCTTGCAGGTACGGTCATGGACCCCACCGCAGGCTGCAACCCTGGCTGTGTGGCAGCCATGGCCATGGCGGCCATGGCGGGCTGTGTGGCCATTCCCAGCGCCGGACGTGGGGTGGGCACGGAAGCTGCCATGGCAGCCTCACAGAGGGTTTAACCGGTTCAACATCACTGCTGCAACTGCTGGAAAATCAGAAATCCAGATATATCCAGATGGAATGGGCGGATTGGCTGGGGAGAATCCTGAAAAACATCAAAGCCATCCATCAAGTTTTGCGTCATCCAGCCTGCGGCACATAGCCAGCAGGGGGCAGCTGCGGCTGGCTTTGTGCCAAGGTCTGCCGTGCAATGCCGCCGATGCTGGCAGGTGGCGGCTCCTTGTAGCGAAAGTTGTGGCAAACACCACAGACTGGCGCGATCCCAATTTGACGGGTAAACTGCCTGACCTGAATCCCGCATGAACTGTTTTGCAGTTGAGGATCGGAAGGATCCTTCCGCAGCACCATGCTTGTGTCCATAACTTGCGAAGGGTCCTCGCCGTTTTAGAGCCACGAGAACTTCTCGTAACAAGGTTCCGTGTCGAGTAAAGGCAGTGTACAGCATACCACCAAAGTCTAATTGTATTATATTGTATTTATTTGTTCCTTCAGAAGGATTTCCAAATGGCATGATCAGTGTGCGTGGCATTGATTTAGTGCCAACGGCAAGGTCCAGAAGTCCTAAACTCCAAGGAATGTGATTTGAATATCTCACCAGGTGTGCAACTGTCAGTTTTCACATTGACCAACCCAGCCCCAACTGCAGTCTCCTCAGCCGCAGCACCCTTAGCAAGACTGGTGGGTTGTCCATCCCCTGTGATGACTAGTGGGGCATTGGCAAGTCTGTTTCCACAATGGTGACTGTTGATGACTGACAAGGCCGCAAGTCATGCAGGCTCCGAACACGAGGTTGGAACCTTGTTTGAATTCCTACCCAAAATGACACCCCTTGAAGATACCAATTATGTCTCAACTCACAGGCCAAGAAACGCTGGAGTGGAGCGATTGCATTGACTGGACCATCTGAACTGGCACCTGGAATCAATCGATGATACTTGAACCATCTTGAACCATCCTGAAGCATCTAACCATGCTGATCCCATGGCAACTGCATAAGGAACTGCACAAAAAGAAATCGCTGCAAAGATCCGCAGCCAAACTTGATCCTTGTCAATACTCCTAGAGACATTCACAGAGTAATCAGAGTAGAGGCCACCACAAGAGTCGAATGTGTCCATCACTACAGCTGCAGGCCTGTTGCGAGCCAGCTCGGCTGCTGGCAGTGCTCACCACTTTGCTCACAGGAACCTGCCGGAATCGCTATCACATCTCAGCAATTGAAGATACCTCAAATCCATCCCAGCTGTAGTCATTTTATATACCCAGGTATGTGGCCAAGGAAACTCCTTGGTTCTGAGCAAACCTCTTTGTTTCCAAAACTGAATCAAAGACTGTGATGCAATCGCACTCGCATCATCTCGCGTCTGTCCTCGCCTCGCTCGTGCGATGCTGCTGGGCGGGTGAACCAGCCTCAGTTTGCCACTTCGGGTCAGTCCATCACTTAAGCCCATCCTAACTCGCGCGCTTCCAAAACTTCCCAAGCAGCATTGTTTGCCAAAGGGTCCATTGAAGCTTGTACAAAATGTCAAAAATGTCCACTGGTTGCCGTCCCAGACTCCGTCACAGACACATTGCCATCCGAAGGTGGCGCCTGCAAGGAAGCACAGTAGGATACAGCAGGTAGACACGCTGCAACATGTTTTTACATCTATTTCATCAATATATGTTTCATTATGTTTCAGTTTTTTTCCCAAGTGGTTTTTGGGAATTGAAAAATGACACACTTTGATGATTTACAAGTTACAACCATGGTTTGACAATTATTTTATGACCATTCAGACCATTCAGCAATTCTTCCAAAAATTTCTTCAGCATTGGTTTACCCTTCCCATTTTTTGTTACAAGCCCAACCCACCAGGTTTTTTCGCCCCACCTGGTAGCTGCCCATAGAGGCAATGCTGGCCATGCTCTGCCGAGGTGAGACCATCTCTCCCTGGTATTTGGCAATGGATTTGAGTCCATGTCATCCATGTAACATGTGGAACATTGTGGAACTATAGACACTAAGTACTAATACGGGATTTTCACAAATCCAAAGCATAGGAGACACGAGACTCAAGCTCATGAGGCTAGTGTAGCCTCTACATTGTAGAAAATGCTGACTGACTGGGCTACACCGTTTTATAATGTTTTATAGACGATGGATTGTTTCAATGAAAATTGGCCAGCGTGTGCCCACTCTAGAAACTCACCACCGACTGCCTGATACGGGCGGGCCGAACCATCCAAGATCACTTCCTCACGATCAAACGGAATCCCTGGGACATGTTCAATCACAATCCGCCCGATGCTGGAACTGCATTCCAAGGGTCTGCTGGTGGGTTTGACATTTGAACCCTTCTTCTCGGTGACATATCACCCTGACCACAGCTGCAAAAGGCGGGACTTGGTGGTGGTGATTCGATTCTTGAAATGCTGCAACTGAACTTTTGCGTCACCAATGTGCGAGGGTAATTCTGGAGCAGGGTTTGATAAATCAAAACTGCCAGGACTGCACGCCTCTTGCTGTCTGGGGGATATCTCCTAGCTGCTGGCTCGCACAAATTCAGCAACAAAAGAAACAAGTCCAAAAGTGTAATGACAACTTCGGTTATCTCGCTTGTGTCAATCATTTCAATTGTCGCATCCGTGTCATTCATTTCATGGAAAATTGTGCGCTGAGAGCCGAATAGACTCAGTTAGAAAGTATGGTATCTCCAAATCATCTCCTGCAGGCTGGAAGTGCTCGCCAACTGCAATCTTCGAGAAGGCGAGTCCTGCACCCAACTGCGCTGCCCTGCTGCTAGAAACAATGCCCAAAACAATGCCCAGGCCTGCGCTGGTACCGCGTCCTAGGACGTCATGAGGGCATAGGAACTGTTGGGAACTGTCCAACCGTCCACCAAAGTCAGAAAGGTGCTACCAAGGTGCTGCCTGAAACCCCCGTGGAGAGCCTTCACATGCCTCACAAAACCCAGCACAGCATAGCTTCAGCGAGCTCCCTACGTCCCTTGTGGCTACGGAAAGAGGAAACAGGAAATGTCATGAAATGTCTAGTCACATGCGCTGTGCCGCCCAGCAACCTGCGACACACCACCAGGGGGCTCCGCCTCAGAATTCTTTCATGGGTCAAGTACCTGAATTGGCCCTTCATTAGGTTCATCTTGTTACGTTAGAATAAAGTAACATAATGTAACATAGTAGTCTAATCTACTATAATCATGTCTGACTCACTACCTGCTGTTCTCCAAGTCGCTGAGGTAGAGGGCAACGGCCCGGTCATCATATGCATCAATCGTCTGGGAGACGCTGTGGCCTCGAGGCTTGCATTGGACGTCAGACAGAACACTCAGAACACCACACAAATCAGGAGAGTGCGTGATTGTCGCGTCACTATTTTTTGCACATATCAGTTCTCACCAAGGGGCATTGTCGTTGGTCACCTGCGATGGCAGATGATGGCAGCATGGCAATTCCTTGCTGATTTCAAGACCTACCCTGCCATCCACTTCCTCTGATTCGTCAGGAGCTTGACATGTCTTGATCCTCCAATTGTGAGCCCTTCCCAGCGGGCACCGGCATCGCAAAGGCAACCATGCCGTTGGGCAAGAGCACACGCTGGCCCTGCTGAAGTCTCCTGAAATGAGAAAATGATTCCGATATGTTCCGATAAAGGTGGCGCTTCACTAATTTGATCACAAATCTGACAGAACAATTCACAACCAGGCAAAATCCATCAAAATCCATCAAAATAAATCAAAATCCATCAAAATAAATCAAAATAAATCAAAATCCATCAAAATCCATCTTTTTTTGTCAAAATCCGCTTCTTTCGCTTCACTCTTGGGCGCCTGATAGGTGACGAATCTCCAGCAGGTGGCGCCGTTTGAGACGCCGGATCCTTGGTCAAACGTCGTTCAGCCGTGCACAGAGAGGCTGGCCGATGCTGGCAGATGCTGGCTGAGTGGCTGGAATCCGCTTGGTTGAGCCAGGGCTCTCAGTCGGCCCAGCCTGGGAAATTATGGGAAATTCAAACACAAAGGACATAGGGCACAAGAAGTCCCTTCGGTGGGTCAACGCCCTCGCCACCCAGTGCTAAGATGTGCTAAGATGTGCTAAGATGTGCTAACCCCTCCCAACCCATTGACATCTGCTTGACATTGTCGACCCTCAACTTATTTCAAATCTTGAGGATTTTGAGATGAGCCTTGCCCTGGGCGAGCTTGGGGCCGTTTAAGGTAGTCACCTGCCACTGTGGAAAAAGTCCATGTTGTGTGGTTGTTGGTGGTAGTCTGCGTTTGTTTCGCACAAATTGTCTACAGCTATACCTAAAAGATCCTAAAAGTATGTACATTTGGCAGCTGATCTGCTCTGAGCATGTCTGCACCTCTGCCTGGCTGCTGATGCTGGAATCCACCTGAGGCACGAACACAAACAATCTGAAACACATCCTCTACCAACACTCGAGCGCGTCCCTGTCGTACATCCCACGTATGATCCAAAGCATCCGCCATGATTCACCCAAATCTTCACCTCTACGCATATCTGATCATATCTGATATATCTGGCATATCTCAGTTGATTCCATGTAAAAACTGCAGCCCAGCAGCTCGCGACATGGCGGAGCTCATACGAGGCGGATAGGCACTGCTGCCACTCCCCACTGAGGTGGTGCGACGGATGCCGGGCGCACTGCGCAGGTTCTGACGCACCTGTCGCTTCGCAGCGGAATTGATGCGCTGAAGGTTCCTGTTCCGATTCTTGGAAAGGTATGGAAAGGTATATTGTGGACAACCATGAGCCAGCTCCAAGAAAAACTGCAATTGTTGAGATATTGGACAGTCGGAGGCCTGAGCGGCCAAGTTGAAGTCGAAACCCAAAGATTTTGCCTGCGGAAGAGGCTGGAGGAGACTTGACAATCCAAATCATTTCCCAGTAATTACAATTACATCGACATACCTGCCATCCACTTTGACACAATGCAAGGCTGAAAAACGGATTCATTTCTTCAAGTAGGGACAGTTGAGTTTCATGGGCGCTTCATGGTGGCTTACTTTTTTGGCACTCGAAGCCCCAATCCTCTTCGCAAAGAGTGCCACCACGTAGAGAAATGGCTTTCGCTTCCAATGCTTCCAATTCCTAGGACCCAGGTGACAAGCCTGACTGGCCTTGAGGATCCAGGGACATCCGGGAATGGAAATGTGTACAGAAAATCGCTGAAAATCGACTAGCATGTTCCTGTTGGCGTCTAGCCATGACAAATGCCAAGAATCATGGGCCACTGCCAGCTGACGGCTGTAGAGTTCTCCCTCAACCTGCAGTGGATTCACAAGCATTTGACGCATCTAGCGTAGATATCCATAGATGGGCATGCAGGAATGGAATGAATTCACTGGATGGACAATGGATGACAATGGCACGTCCTTTTCCCATTGACATGATCTATTTATCTGACTTCATCTTCATTCATCTTACCCCCCACATCCCAATCCCTCCGCCAAAAAAACAGTGAAAAATCATCAGTTTTGGCTGCGGCCTCCAGCCGCATGGGGCCAAAGCTCTCCACCACACGTCGACGCACCTCATCCTGCGACTGCATTACCAGCTCCTTGCGGATTGGTGCGAAAATCTCAGGATTGTTTGGGGATATTTGGTGAATTTGGGGATATCCCTGCTTCAAATGGTGATAAATGGATATAAATGGTGGATAGAGTGTCCAGTAGTGAGTGTGAGATACATTGAGATACCATATGACAAACCAAAACAGGATAAAACAGGAACATAAAATCGCAATTTTGACTGGGTGAATTAATTGTGTGCAAATGGGGATTTGACATTGCCCTGATGGTTTATCAAAGGGTATTCTAGGGGGAAAAATGGTGGGCTGGATTGTGTATTTACCGATTGGTTGTTGTGGGGGTGTGCCTCTCGATTAGTCAGGAAGACATTCTTGCTGTCAACTCTTTGGATCAGGTGTTGAAAGTGCGTGGCTTGCCCACATGTTCCACAACAAGCTGGGCTGCGCAAGCACTCCTTTTTGGCAACTATGTTTGCACCATTAGGCCAGGTTTAAACCGTATACTGCACAACGTAGCATGGATAAGCCTGTTCTCTGTCAAAGATCACGTATTCTTGATGAATCTGACGATGCCTGTGATGTCCTTTGATCATTCCAGGGTGTACGACGATGGAGTCGTGTGTGCCAGCTGCATTGGTTCTGACTGGCGGCCTCCTTTCTTCATACCTGGTTTCTGTAGCAAGAGAAGCATCACCGAGTGCCACACGGGCGATTATCAGTGTCCTCTCAACCTTACAACTACAGCCATTGTGATGCACCTGACAGGTATACTGATGGCTCTTACATGCAGCACATGCGAAGTATACCCCGCCACCATACATGGCACGCTGACTGGTGCGATTGTCAAAGCCATCTTGGACGATTGAGTCAGCATTTCCCCAAGAGGTGCCATGCAGGAGAATTTTCTCGTCAAGGTCAGCTGCCAGTGCCTCTCCGCAGTCGAAAATTGCTTGGGAGTTGGTCATCACTTGCCCGTTGCCATCCAAATCAATGGCAGCAGATCTGACCGAAACGTCGTTGATGGCATGATCCTGTCGCATTGCTGCAAGCCTGGCCTGGTATCTGTGCCAAAGCCGAAAATTCTCGATGCGGTGCACCGATTGAATGCGTGCCGTGCTCATCAGAGAACATGCCGTGGCAACATCCGCCTTTGCATGGCCTGTAGTCTGTAGGACCTTCTCAATGGCAGCATGGATGTGCGGGTCATTCACCTCCACATAGAAAGCCTGCAAATCATTGCCCTGTTGAAGCAATGCCTCTGTCTTGGTGACCCATTGTGAAGGGACTCCTGGTAGAATGCGAATCCCACGCACCCTGTGCGTGGAGACATGTTTCTGTTGCATCAGCTCGAAATCGACAATACGAGCTACTCCACCAGAACTGATAGTGGCATGTCGACTGCCTGGTTTCTGGCGAATATATGCCAAATACGCCTCGTGCATCTTATCATTTCCTTCAGGGGGCAGCGCATGCCAAGTCCCATCGATTTCATATTGCCAGCAAGCACCATGACTCAGAACAATGCTGGAGATGCCTTTTTGCGTCTGCAAATCTGCCCTCAACTTGGCATTTTCTTGTGACACTTTGGTCAGGAGTTCCTTCCATTTTGTCCGCTCCTTCTCAGCCTTCTGACGCTGATTGCGTTCGCTGGTCACTGCACGTAGGGCATTTCGCAATTTCTCCTCTAAGGCTGCAATCCTGGCTTCTTGGAAAGAGATCTCCGGTTGCGAAGGAGACTTCACTTGATTGGAAGGATTTGAAGGACCTGAAGGATCTGAAGGATCTGAAGGAGTTGAGTCATTCTCAGGTTTGCTTCCACTCGAGCCCCACCCAGATGCCGTCCAAGAATCCCAACCATCCCATGCCGATTGCTGGGATGCATCTGTCCAAAAGTCTCCAAAGTCCCATGGATTCAATGAATCCCTGGAGTCTCGTGAGTCTCTGGAGTCCCTAGAATCCCTCGAGTCATTCGATGTCGCCCGGCGCCGCTTTTGTTTCGGTCGAGGATCATACCATGAGGTCCCCCGCTTGGAGGCCTGGTCCATGATGGAACATGCTTGAGCGGCAAAATGGCCCTGATCAAGGTGCAGTGGTGCAGTGTTGACTCGGAAAGCGAGGCAAAGATTTTGAAAGCATGAGTCATCCAATGTCATCCACCTAGACATGACTCTGACAAGTGACTTTCATTGGCACATTGATGCGGAGCAAATCAGTTCAGATCAAATCCATGTCACTTTCTTCCTATCAGTGCCGTATAAATATTCTTATATATTGTTTGCCACCCGCCCTGTCTTTCCAGCATGCTCCTCGACAATCATCTGTTGAGCGCTCTCTGGCTCCTGTCCCTCAGCAACCATGTCCCGCACACGCCTCAGCGGCTGTTCCAGTTGCTTAGCTCCCACGATATCGGCAGAGACTCCCCCGCTTCAAATCCATCCGGTGCCGAGACGCTGCACCAAGTCCTTCTGCGATGCCGAACCGGAATCCGCATCTTGCAACATACTCACCACCTCGGTGGCTGTCGAGGTGGAAACGGCAAATATTTATTCTTCAGCCGCTCCAGGTGGATGGGATTCAAATCGAACTCTGAATCACAATGCATGAGCCAGCTGAAGTGTTGATGTGGACTTGTGGATTCTGAAGCTAGACACCAATTTTGTAAAATATAATGCCAAGAGGAAACTAGTGTCAGCCAATCCGCTGAAGTCGGGATTTGTCAGAATCCCAGGATCGTTCAACATAATCCGCAAACGTCCAACATCTACATATTTATATATATAGATATATCTATCTATCTATATATATATGTGTGTGTGTGTGGCTTTTATCCTACTACACAGCGTAGCTAAAGATTACTTCATGGCGGTCTTGAATCAGGAATACTCAGCGCCATAATCTCTCCTCAGTCACCTCTGTCACTTTCCTATGTCCTTTGCTGTGTCGCCAGGGATCCCCACCCGGCTGGTTTCTTCCCTCTGGATGCGCTCGTGCAACTCGCTGTGCAGGACACGCAGCCGCTCCTTCAAGGGACCTGGCCATGAATCCGGCAGTGGTAAGAGCTGTGGTAACAGCTGCATTCCCCGTTGTCAGTGGCCTTCTTCGTGTGCCAGCGCTTGCAACTTGGCATAGGCCTGCTGTTGAGCCTCAGGAGATGGATGAGGAATGCTGACAACATCCAACCATCAAACATCATCAGTATCACAAGTATTAAATATTACAAATATAAATTGATTACATATCTTTGAGTGTGATTCATTGGCAGGCCTCCACCAAGTTTCGCAACTTCGTGGTGGCATACTCCACACCTCAGCCACGACAGGGGCGAGGTCCAGGAAGCCCTGCCCCTAGAGATCTGGAAGTCGACTGCGCCGATGCCGACGAGGAGCTGTATCCTCCGACACTGGAGGCAGCATCATCCATCAAGGATGAAGCCAATCCATGTGGCGACGAGCCTCCGAAGCAATCGAAGGGACCAAAAAATAGCTGCATAGATCCCAGCCATGTTGAAAGGCGTCCGATCAATATGTTAAGCTCCATGATGGGAGAGCTGCACCTGGCTGCCGTGGTGTGGTGGGCGATGAGCCCAGCTTCTTCACCTGAAACAAATCTTTCGGCATCTAGATCCATCAAAGGCACCAGGGTTTGAACACTACATGGGTGAAGCAAAACATTCCAAAATCGTGGGCGATTTCTGTGGGTATATTGACCTCAACTGGGCATGGGGGATCTGCAAACGTAACGCTGCAAAGCCACCAAGCAGGGTCGGAAGGTGCAGCCCCGCAACCTGAGCTGGTCGTCAGGACCCTTGACTCAGAAGAAATCTGACAGATTCATCGCGGATTCCAATGTTTCATCTCACTACCCATTCTTTCTACAAGAAACAACCCTTCAAAATGAAATTGTGGGTTCCTGGAATTGGCCATTGGAATTCCGGTGTGCCTGTTCTCATTAAAATGTCTGATTCATCAGGAATTTATGGCAGATTCATGCCAGATTCATGGGAGTTTCATACATTTCTTCAAGGATGTTCAACTACCAAAAACAAACAGAACAAGTCCAAGTCAGATTCAAAAAACATGCAAGTATTCCAATCTTCTGGGGTCACATTAGCGGTGGATTTGCAGTGAACCCGTGACTTTGTGATGTCTGTCCCCGATGTTTTTGCGCATGCAAATTCCGTTTGGGCATTAGGAAGGTTCGATGCAGAGGGTGCGTAAGTTTCATGACGGTGTGGCACAGGTTTCATCGGCTTTCATTTGGCTGAATGGTTCGCACAAGTTTCATGCAGGTGCCAGAGAAACCCTCAAATACATATAATTATTAGTCAAGATCTGCAAGCTGAAAACTCCAACCGCCACATAAGCACACCCACATGATGATCGTTGGTGGTCACAGCAAAGACAAAGAGCCATCGTTGCTCAATGCCAATGCGCTTGAATTAGAACCTAAAAGATTCAAATACAGATCACTAATGACTCAGACTTCAAAGTTCATGCAACTACTTTTTCCCGCAACCTTCTCATTCCAGGGTTCGCCCCCTCACTTCACTCTCTTGGTGCTTGTTAAGCAGCTCATCCAACTCCCTCATCCTCTGCTCCTCTACACACCTGATACTGGTCAGTGAAGAAAGGAATCATCTTTTTTCAAATCTTAACGCTATGGTTCATTCCTTCAAGGGACTAAGGAATCCTCATTCCGACTTTGCAAGTTTCCCACTGTCCACCTCAAAGCCAAGCATGATCATGGATGTGGCACATACTCTGCAAGTGGACTTCATGAAATTTGATTATGATATATTCATATATATTCTACCTCCTTGCGCTTCTGACTTCAGAGATCATTCCTCCCAGCTGTGGAATAGATAAGGGCAACTCTTCAATTTTTCACCTTGGATTATTCTAAACCTAAAATAGAGGGGCCCAATAGATAATATAGACATATATAGACAATATCCTCCCAGCTGGGGAATCATATCCGGAATATATAATATATATAATCTGAATATCTGGATTATCCAATATCTGCTATCCCCAAAAGATTGGAGGAAACCCGCCTGGTTTGATGCTCTTGGCGCCGTCGCAGGTTCTCCTCTTCGCGTTCCAAGTGGCCACGGCCATCCACGGGGCGTCCACGATAGTAGCGCCGGCGTTGCCTGAAAATTTTTTAGGGTACAGATGAGTACAGACATCACATCTCAATGATTTTCCCATTAAAAATTGTGATTTTCCCATTAAAAATTGTGATTTTCCCATTAAAATGGGTGATTTTTCAATCATTGAGGGATGTCATAGATGTGCATCTATGCATATATATATCGATGTATATCGATCTGTTTCTATGGATATTCATTCTGAATGAACACTTGCTTCCTTCAAATGTAGGTGGCATACAATTATCTGATAATTGACGTGGTTACCCGACCTTACCCGTATGAAAGATGATGATTGAAATTTGATTGTTATCTCTGGGCTTTATTATATTGTACGGAGCGGGGTCAATCCAGGGGTGGTGAAATGTTTTTCCCCTGCTGGTCTGAAAGTTGGACAACCGGTGTGATCAACAGCAAGAACACCGACTCCAAATACGTGTACAAAACGGTTAAAACGGGCCAGCATCTGGCACGGCTGAGTAAGAATATTTCAGAGCCAATGGGAATTTGTGATTGCTTCTGAATATGTTGAATCGAAACTGTGACCAATCAAGCAAATCCACAACACAATTTGTGCAAATGTTCGACATCCTCACCCACGTGATCATCGTGATCCCACGTGCACATGTATCACCATGCCCCGATACAACACATCCCAGAGAATTACTTCGAGTCTTATGCCTCTGATAACTTAAGTTGATAGGACGAGTCGCTTCATACCCTCCTGGCACTGAATCACACGAGTCTTGTGATCGTCTTCCTGAAGCGATGCGGAACATCGTGCACCCGGAAGCTTTCACAAACGTTTTTAAAAGGACCAGAGTTTGGAATCAGGCACTGCATGGCACTGCCACGTTTCTCAAAGCATCAGCGTTTCCAGCGGTCCTCCATCTGCTTGACATAGGACTGCATGTCCCTGAGGCGTTGCTGTCTTGCAAACGCATCCTGGCGGCAAAGAATCTTTTTTCTGGGCATGCAGACTCGACACACTTTGGACATGCTTTCCATTTGGAATGTGTTATATTGTGTTATAGTCACCTGCTTGTGCAGCATGTCTCCATGCCATGCTTGGTCTGATTGGTGAGCTCCTTTCCCTCCGCACCTCATACAGGTCATGATGACAACGCTCCCACGCTCGCTCGAAATCCTGCGTCATTGGCGGCAACAATTCCTTTTCAATTAATTGAACTTTCAATTTCCGTATCAATCCTGGAAGCTCTAAAGCTCCACTTTCATTTGTCCATTGGCCGCACACCATCGCACACCCACATCTCCAGTCATGTCACACGACGTCACACGACGTCACACGACATCTCGCCGTCTCGCCGTCCACCCTGGCGCCTTTTGCGGTGCAGGCCGTGGACTCACCCGGCGCCGCTCCCGCGGAGGGCTCTCGGAGCCCTTGAGGCGCTGTGAGTACTTGGGGACCTCAGCAGCAACCAGCAGATCCAGCGGGGGATATGGCAACAACATGCAAGAAATTGCAACAACCATGGATATATGATATATCAACAAATATCCATCATGGATATATCACAAATGGGGATTTGATATAGCAACCATCACTAACAAATCACACAGCATCATCAACATTTGGAGACGTGAAGAATTGCAAAAGAAGTGAGGGAAGAGAAGCAAACCACAAAAAGTTGAATGCGTTTTTTTCTACAAAGCACATGCGAACGGTCTGTTAGTTCTGGACACAGTGTCAGAAACTGAGCTATGCGTTTTTAGGATCTGCGGCTTTTGCACTCACTTTCGCCGCTTCTTTCCAGGCTTCACCCTGGACTTCACAGCCTTCCCTTCCTTCTCCTGCTTCTTCTTCCACGCCACGGCAACTTGGAAGGAGCGCTCCAGCTCCGCCTCCGAGTGGTCCTTGGGCTTCACCCTGAGATTTCGAGTTGAACCACCAACCTTGCAACATGCATGCCACTGCTGCTCAGCATGGCTCCAATTTACCCCTGTGTGGGGCACCTTGGGGTGGAACACCGGCAGCTCCGACAGCGTGACCACGGGCTTCACCCGGCGCTGCAGGTGGGCCTTCTCCGTGAGCAACAGGGCCTTCGCCTCGGCCGCAGCCTTCTCGGTGAAGTAGCCGCCAAAAATCCCCTTGCCGCTGTTGGGACGGATTCGCACCTCCCACTTTTTGTAGTTCTTGTGCCACTTCACCCCCGGCACTTCGCTGGTGAAGTTGGGGTCCTTCTGCCTGGGCTCGCTGAGGATGCCCTTCTCCACCAGCTCTGCACGGAAGGCCTTGGCGGCCTCGAGAGCTGCTGCGTCGGCCTGGGCCTCAGAGATGCCTGGGCCCATGAAGTTTTTCACCGGAAACTTCCGACTTGTTCTGCGAGTCTTTTTGCCTTTGGCATCTCGTTCGAAAAATTGAACGCACCAGGATTGCTGGTTGTTCCTCCAAGTGATATTCGGCACGCCGCTTTGCTTCGCCACATTGTTTCTTGTGAACACGTACGGTTTCTGCTCCCCAGAAGATGGTGGGGGATGCTCAGCGGCAGCGACTGCAGCTGGGGCTTCTTTGATCTTTCCGTCTGAAGGTTTCACCTCCTCTTCTGCAAGACCCACAGACTCGAAGACTTCCACGCCCTGCATGGCATTGCTGCCGCCTGAGGACGATAGCCGTCGGAGACCGTTCTCATCATAAGCCCAACCATGACCATGACCCGCCCAAACAGAAGTGGGCAGGTCCCTCATCCAAGGCCACATCTTCATGCAATCCAGGCCGTGGACCTTGTAGTCCTGACATTGGCAACTGGGCGGCAAAAATTGGCCAGGAACATCGGGGGGTCTCCATCTGGCTGTGCGAGACATGCCATGATAACCAGAAACAAGTCGGCGTTTCAATTGATGCAAATGACATTAATGTACATTACTCACAACAGACTGAACGCGACGGCTTCACAATTGATAATGTGAGCCTATCCAGACAGGCCGGTCCTGCATTTGCAAGTCGCAATCCGATGGTGGCTTTGGTGGCATCGTCTGCAAACATGGCCCAAATGCCTCTACCTGCAGGAAATGGTTGGGAGCGAACACCAACATCTTTGAATCCTCTCCCTCTCAACCCTTACCTCTACAAAGGGCACTGGTAAACAACATGGGCAACAAATGAATACCACCCGAAATACGGTGGAGAGGTCCCGGGACTCAACGGACAGGCGGCAAAATGCGGCCTCACTGTCGAACAGAGTTGTGCACAGGCTGTTCTGGTCGTAAAATCGCTGCAGGCACCGTAAGCCATGTCCAGTGAGACGCAGCACACATGCTGGTGCATGTGGTGGTGGAGGAGATGGCGTTCCGAAAGCCGAGCCCAAGAAGAAGTTGGCAGGGCAACAGGGCCTGCATTTAGCTTCTGTACAGAGGCTTCTTGCTTGATATTGCTTGATAAAGCGGGCCACCATATTTCCATAACGATGATAAAATATGATAAAATATGATAAGTATGGCTTGCACGGCGTCGTGTGCCAACGGTTGACAAGGCAGAAACTTGACACCAGCAACAACCCCAGGGTATCTAGACATGTTTTTTTCTGTTGGAAAAAATTCACTGGTGACACTGGACTGAAAGGCATCACATCCTATCTTTTGTTCATCAATATTCATGAATTATTTGGCAACTGGACTGCTGAATCAGCCTAACGGGGGTGAGAATGATTTTGAAAAGGACGTCACCACATCACCTGGTGGGGCTCCAAGTCTTGGAACTCCGAAAGGCCAAGCACTGCTTCGCCCAGGTCGCCGCTAGTGAAGCGAATGCATGCATCTTTTGCAGGGTCAAACGGCGCCGTTTGGCCGGCTTGGATTCTGGCTCAGCTGTCGCTTGACTCCTTGCAGGTATCATGCTCTGCTCTGGTACCATCTCCTCAGTTGCAACTTCGTATCCGCTGTTTTTAGGATTTTGACGTTGCTCCTCCGCAATCTCATCTTTCACCCGGACATCCTGAAGAGGGAGTTCACAATCAAAACTTGAAGACCTCATCTCTTCTTCTATCTCCTCCTTGATCTCTGTCTTCACCCGCAGCAACAGATCATCCATCTCCATCCTCTTCTGTGGACTTTCACGTTTGACTTGTTGCTCAGCACATCTCTCCGTTTTGACCTTCACACCATCAGGAAGCTCTTTCTTTGCTGAGTTCAGTCCCTCTGTATGCATTGTCTTTTGCACATCCCGGCGGGTCAAACGGCGCCGTTTGGCCGGCTTGGATTCTGGCTCAGCTGTCGCTTGACTCCTTGCTGGTATCATGCTCTGCTCTGGTACCATCTCCTCAGTTGCAACTTCGTATCCGCTGTCTTTAGGATTTTGATGTTGCTCCTCCGCGATCTCATCTTTCACCCGGACATCCTGAAGAGGGAGTTCACAATCAAAACTTGAAGACCTCATCTCTTCTTCTATCTCCTCCTTGATCTCTGTCTTCACCCGCAGCAACAGATCATCCATCTCCATCCTCCCCTTCTCTGCGCCTCCAGGAAACACCTCTTGCCCAGAAGATCCCTCCGTTTTGTCCTTCACACAATCAGCAAGTTCTCTTGTTGTTGAGCTTGGCCCCTCGGTTTGCATAGTCGTTTTCACATCGCGGCTCATCAAAGGCCAGTGTTCGGCGGCAGATGATGCCTGAAGTGATTCCATCGTTCCGGGTGTGGTTTGCTAGGATTCAATTCTCAGGCACACCTTTTGTGGTGCCACCCGGTCTGCTGTGGCCATAGAGCCCAAAATGGCAGCATGGAACTTTGAATACATTGCAGTTAACACTTTCGGCTGACAATCAAAGTGAAAGCAGTTTGGAGTGTCGTTTTGTGCTGAGTGCGACAACGGAAAGAGGGCAGCCCAGAAGCCCTGTGGTTCGATCATTGTAGACCTTTCGAGGCCCAAGACAGCAAGAAATGGGTATGGGTCAAGCATTGGGTACCCAAAACGTTAGATGTTTACGTCAAAACTCACCAAATCATCTGGAGGTTTGAGCGATTTGAGCCAATCTGTTGTGCTGAACTATACCAATATGATCCACACTTGGTTGCACTCTATTGTGTGAGCCATGAAGTGGGATCACTGCAACTTTTCCGGCACTTGGCTCCCAGGAGTCAAACCCCCTGCAACAAATTGCAGCTGCCTGAGACAATGGTTTCATAGTTTCCTCCATGGACGCCTTTTCCTTGTCATCTGTGTCCTGTGCTCATCGCCAGCTCTTGGGTTGGGCACTTGCAGTGCCAAATGATGAGACGAGTTCTGCTTGATTGTGCACACTTCATGTTACTCGGATTGAAATCAATACCATCTGGTTATTTAACATAGCCATGGAAAATCACCATTTTTAATAGGTAAACCATCTATAAATGGGCCATTTTCCATGGCTATGTTAAATAACCAGAGGGTAAGTTCCATGGATATCGTTCTTGGAGGTTCCACGTTGGTTCCATATTTGCACCCGGATGTCACCAAGCAGGCGCCTCCGACAGACTGCGCTTCTCTTCGGGCGAGGCTCGGAGACTGGCATTGCCTCGGTGCGGGAGTAGGGCCATCCCCGGTGGGTGGGAGGATGGGATCCCATCAGGATCTGTATTCGATACATATGGCAGTGTGTCAAAACCTTGTACCCCTGGTGAACGTCAAAATAGCTGGGATTTATGGATGTTCATCCCTCTAAAAATGGTATTAATAGGTATTGATCCATACCCATATAGATACAGATTTTGATGTGTACCTTGTATTGAGTAAAGTACCATCAAAATCATCAAACAAATAGCAGCATGATGAGCATCTCTTGACGCGCGGAACATCTGCGCAGAAGTGGTTTCAACACCGCCAAGGGTTTGACGTCGCCAAAACGCCACACGTAGCTTTGACGTGCATCGGCGGTCAAAGAGATGGACCACACCAAACCTATATAATCCGTTCTAGTGCCATGCCTATGATTGTCACAGCTCCTCAGTGGAAGATTCACACGTTAGTTCCTCAGTCTTGGCAAAGGCAGTATTCGGGTATGCAAATGTGATCCCATGTGATCACTATTGGTTTTAAACTGCTGGCGGTGCCCATGCCTTCGCCTACTTCATTCCAGGCCCCCATAGATGTGGCATGATTCCAGTAACTTTTGCTGAACCAACTACACACAAAGCACGCAGTCTCACCCCTATGGCACTATGGGCCTTAGACGAGCCGACTGCGAACCGGGCGTCTCGCTTTTTGTAGGCCACGAAGCCCTTGGTGATCTCGTCCGCTGTGAGTTCGGCGTTGGGAGGATGGACGTACCACAAGCGCGTGTGAGGATGCAAGTGATAACCGACGCAGTCCTCAGGGTCCACAACAACAATAATAAAATCTGCAGGGATTCAAAAAATCACAATGGCGAAGGGCCTGACTTCACAGGCCGCACGACTCACTATACTTCACTCCCCTCGCCAGGCCTGATGTACGTCACAAAAGTGTTTGGCCTCATCCTCCGTGGGAAACTTCAACCAAACCTGTGCCCAAACGAACCGTTCACGGAGTGTCACAACTGTTGACCGTTTATCCATGTCTTCCAGTTTGCGGCGCCATATCATCCAAACATCAGAAAACATGTAAGCATTTGCAAGCACCTGCAATCACCTGCAAATGTCATGGCGGACTGCACCAACTATTTCCTCTTTGCTGCCGAAGGAACAGTGAGCCCCGAGAAGGCCTGGGCTAGTGGTTGACAGCATTTTCAGTCTTTCAACAATATGCTGACCTTCCAGCATGTTCCGCTCGTTTAATGTGAATTTGGTGTGTGTGTGTATATATATATATATATGTGTGTGTGTGTATGTCTCTCTCTCTCTCTCTCTCTTCCCCCGAAACAAATCCTCCTTGCGTCGAGCCTTGTCCTTGATCTGCCGGTACTGACAGCGTACGCCGTTGTCCTCAAAGGCTTCCTCCGCGGCTGTCGTTCGCAGAAGGAAGAGACCCAGCAGCCAGGCAGGTGCCACCGCTGCCATGGCAAAGCTCCACCGCTGCTTGCAGCGCTGGTAAGTTGCTTGTAGTTGGTTCATGTCAGCTACAGGCGTGGTTGGTTACAGTTGGCAAGTGGACTTTTATTGTATGTTGTTTCCATTGAGCCCGTTCAATCTGATCAATCTGTGTTTTCCGCAAGCGATTATTACGGTATATCATATCTGTAAGAATCTTTTGAAACAAGTGAATAATTACATCTGTTACAAAATAGTGAGACATTCCCGAGCAAATCCATTTGCAACGGATGAACCTGTAGCACACACCCACGCACACCCGAAATGGCTTCTGCTGATTTATATAAGTAGATTTAAGTATTGTACCAAAATCCATTACTACCCTGATCTGATCCAGATTGATCCAGTGCTTTTCGCAGCTGTGGCCCCCGGCTGATCAAGTTTGCCACCGCAGCCTGCAAGGTTTACTCGTTCTGTGAGGAAGTCATTTCTGCGGCCGTTTCTTCATGTGTCTTTCCACTGGGGGTGCAGTGCTTCAGTTTCACGCCAAGTTCAATCTGCCGAGTGGTGACTTCCACTGAGTTGTCTGCCGCAATCGCTGGCGCCGGAGCAGACCCCACCTTGCCAAAGGTGGGGTACTGGGACGGCAAGTGGTTTCCATGTTTCAACTGCGTCGGCTAGAAATGGCTAGAATATAGCATTTCAGCACAGGTTGGCTACATCCCCAGCAGGGCACTTCCAGCAACACCCATGGCCTGTCCCAATTGAAGTCCAGTAGCTCCAGGACGAGTCATGGCCATCATCTGCAGTGTTTTGTAGGCAAGGGCGAGCCCACTGGAAATGCCATGATGTTGCGGCGCCAAAACATATTCACCATGATGAATCATAATAGTAGTAATAGTAATAGTAAGAATAGTGTAATTGTTTTTTGTGTGCTTTGTTACCCATCTCTCTTATCTCACTTTGCTGCAGCTAAGTAATTAAGTAGTTACAAAATGTTACAACGACATTGAATCTGAAGAAAAACCAGTCATCACCACTGAATCACCACGCGACATTTTCTTGTTGCCACATAGCCTGCTGCAGCTGCGCAGCGCTCTGCACCGGCGACAAGAGCGGCGAGGCGCCGTGCGAGCGAGGCGCCACGAAGAGCGGCGAGGCCTTCCACGGTGCGAATCACCAGCTGTAGGCAATTCCTGATGATGGATGGGATGGGGTTGCGATTTTGGTGTTGTCTTATGTAAGTGTTCTGTAGAGGATTCCTGATGATGATTCCCAAATCTTCAGGAATTCCAAAATTGTGATTCCTGATGCTGGATATACTATAATAATCTATAGTAATTAATATAGTCTTTCCATTAAGAATGGATTTCTGATCCTGGAGTACCTACATAGACACAGCCAGGGCTGCATCCCAGGGATCCACACCGGCATCTGCGTCAGCGGGTGCATCATGGCCATCTCTGCAGGTCCCAAGGCCCAACCGCTGAGCCGTCGCAGTAACGTCAAACATAAGCTGCACTGACTGAAGTTGGACTATCTCCTTACCCAAAGATTCACAGCTTAGGAAATTTAGATAAATTTAGGATGTATCATGTATCATCTGTTGAAGTTTGATTATGTACACTGGTCGTGCCCCAAAAAGTTTGCCAGCAAACACAGTTCTGACATGTTCAGACCAGCCGCAGGACACCAGAGACACCCGATAAACTGTTGATTCTGATTGGTTTCCTCTCCATGGCTTTGGGGCACGTCGAGAATCTAGTCGCTTTTTTTGGAGCAGCTGGTGTGATCTCAGCTAAGAAAAAGGCCGTCCCTGATTTCCTCCGCGAAGCATGCCACATGCGAATTGTTATGTTTGAAGGTTGGGGTGCTGCAAATGGGCCATACGAGCTACACGAGCCGTGCATTCAGGATCCATGGATTTTGCAGTCAGTTTCGCTGCTTCTGCCCAAGCTTTGCCTTGGGCTTTACAGCCTTCTCTTGCTCCTCCTTCTCCTTTTCCTGCTTCTTCTTCCATGCCACAGCGACTTGGAACGAGCGCTCCAGGTCCGCCTCCGAGTAGTCCTTGGGCCTCACCCTGAACCCCCGACATGGTGGCAACAGGGTTCAGCTGGCGCTGGCCGTCCTTCTCCCGGAGCTGCAGAGCTTTGGCCTCGGCACCCGCCTTCTCGGTGAAGCATCCGCCTTGAATCACTTTCTTGCCGCCCTTAGGGCCAACACGGACCCGACATTTTCCACTGGTTTTGTCCCGCGCCACCCCCAGCACTTCGCTGATGAAGTTGGGGTCCGGGGGCTTCGGCGCACTGAGGATGCCCTTCTCCACCAGCTCTGCACGGAAGGCCTTGGCGGCCTCGAGAGCTGCTGCGTCGGCCTGCATTGGCCACATGTGATCAAACGAAAAATGCAGTTACTATATAAGAGTGCTCTCTGCCTCCCTTGAATAACAGAACGTTGTCAAAATTGGAGCGGGAGTCCGCAGAAATCCGTGGTCATTTTTCACTGTTGGTTGAATCCGTACCATGTGAAACTAATGCGGCCAATGCAGGAACAGCGCCCGTTTGTAGTGGCAGCGTTGACGCAAACTGCCAACTGAGTCGTACTGTATTGTGAGAAGGTCACACGAACGTTTGCCCATTCCTCCTCAGGCTGTAGTTTCGGCAATCTTTCCCATTGTTTCTGACAACTTGCAGGCCAGCGCTTTGCTTCTCTCCTACCGTGTAGACGGAACTCCTGTGGTCAATCCAAAAGCCTTCAAGGCCCTTCAGCGCCGAGCTCCTTGAAATGGTGCCTCTCGCCACTCATCGCGCAGCTATCAGTACCAGGGCTGGCCGCACCACTGATTGCGTCTGTGCCCATGAAGTTTTTCACTGAAAACTTTCGATTTGTCCTGCCGCTGCGTGTTCCTTCAAAATCAACTTTGGGGAAGTTGACCTCCCAGCCACAATTGCCGTTCCAGCGGATATTTGGAATTCCACTTGGCTTCGCAATGTTGCTTCTCTGGAATCAACTTGGTTTCTGCTCCCCAGAAGATGGCGAGGGGTGCTCTGCAACTGCAACTCGGGCTTCTGTTATCTTTTCATCTGAAGGTTTCACCTCCTCTGCAGCTGCCCCCACAGATTCAAAGACTTCCACGCCTTGCATCGCATGGCTGCCGCCTGCGGACGATAAGCCCAACCATGACCCGCCCAAACAGAAGTGGGCAGGTCCCTCATCCAAGGCCACATCTTCATGCAATCCAGTGGACCTTGTAGTCCTGGCATTGGAAACAAAGAAGATGGTGACAAGAGACAGTAGTCAATGCACATGGGACATCGATGACCAATCCGTGCAGCCATCCGGATGGGTCCTGCATTTGCAAGTGGCAATCCGATGGTGGCTTTGGTGGCTCTGTCTGCGGACATGCCTGAGATGTCTCTACCTGCAGAAGATGGCTGTGGGTGAAAGGGCCAGAGACACTTGAGGGCACGCGGGGTGTACGAAAGCTATGCAATGGCATAGTGGTTTCACTGAGTTGAAAAAGCGGGATGATGAGAGAGGATAAGATATGATATGATGCGATGGGATGCGATTGAAGGGGTGCGATGAGACGAGACCACATTGAGAGATGATGACATTGAGATGAGATGTGATAAGACATGATGAAGCATGATGAGACATGACGTGAGACATGATGAGACACAATGAAACATGATGAGACGCTATATGTCATGATGAGACATGATGAAACATGGTGAGAAATTATATGACACGATGAGACATGATGAGACACGGTGAGACCTGATAAGACATGTTGAGACATGATGAGACATGATGACACATGATGAGACATGATGAGACATGATGGCACATGATGAGAAATGATGGGAATAGACGCCTCGAGATGAGATAAGACGAGATGAAATGAGATGAGACATGACGAGACACGATGGGAAGAGATTTGATGAGATGAGATGAAAAGAGACGAGACAAGATGTGATGGCAAATAAATAGGATATAAATGGATATAAGATCGGTTGAGATGATAGGGGATGAGATGATCCGGGACATACTGAAAAGTCATGTAGAGATCATGCGAAATCGAGCCCGCGTTAAGTGAAGCTTCTCACGAACGGGGGCTGACCTACCCCCAGACCCCCAAAGCTATTTGCTAAGCAAAGGCTGAACTCCAGCTACTTACCGCTAGCTTTCGTGAAATCATATATGACCAAGGAAAGGTTGGCTTACAGTGTCATGCGACCTGGCTCTGGAGCACCATGCTATGCAGGCTCTGCTTGTCGTAAAATCGCTGCAGGCACCGTAAGCCATGTCCAGTGAGACGCAGCACACATGCTGGCGCATGTGGTGGTGGAGATGGCGTTCCATAAGCCGAGCCCAAGAAGAAGTTGGCAGGGCAACAGGGCCTGCATTCGCGGGGATTGGCCGCAACAAGATTCGTTGCTATAGCTGCTAGATGAGACACACTATCTAAAGCACAGCTGACTGAACAGGCTTCCTGACACCAGAACAAGTGTCCCTTAGTGTCTTTTCTCATCACATTGCCAGGCCTGTTGTAGTAGATTCTGCTATTTCTATGAGATTGCTCAAGGCTTGCTCTCAACATCTCTCAACATCCGTCTGAACAGGGTCAGGATGCTGGGCTATGAAGCTAGTTCTTGACACCGAGCTGAAGGTGGACTGTGTCACGACTGCGGACAAATGCGCCTGGTTGGGCTCCAAGTCTTGGAACTGCGAAAAGCCAAGCACTGCTTCGCCCAGGCCGCTGCTTGTGAAGCAAAGGCATCCAAAGAGCCAAGTCCTGCCAACCAATGCGTATGTTCTGAGTGACCAAACCTGGATTTGCTGCGTTCAAGATGCAAGTGAAAGGGAACGAAAAGAATCGAAAAGAAGTGCCAAAGGCCAATCACTCTGGCTTATTGTCTGATCCCTTCCGTACTGCTTGACTGGCAACCTGCTCCGGGCATTTGTCATGTCTTTCAACAGCAAATGTGAACTGTTTTTTTATAGGAAGAAAATCATGAGTTTGCCTGTCTCTCCCGACCAAGGTCCTCCTGACACTCCGACTTCGCAGAATCTCCCAGCGACATGTCGCGTGCGACCTTCACACCATCAGCCAGCTCCTTCTTCACTGCGCTTGGACATCTTGGACCCTCTGTTTCCGAGATCTTTTGCATGTCTTTCATCATGACCCCCTGCGTCAGGATGTCACTCTCAGAATTGTTGACATCATGTCTTTTGCCATCTCCTCCCTGATCTCCTTCTTCACCCACCAGAGTTCGTCCATCTCCATCCTCCCTCTCGTTGGACTTTCGCGCTTCATTTCCTGCTTTGTACCTAAATCCTTCTTGGCACTCACGCCGTCAGCAGTTTCCAGACTTGGACCTTCCGGTCAGCTGGCAACCAGTCCATGATGCCCGAGGTGATTCCATAGTTCTAGCTGCGGCGCGGTACGATTCAAATTCCCAGCCCAACAGCTTATGTGTCGCCTGGGGTGCTCAGGTTGTAGAGCCCAAAATGCCCACACGCAAGATTTCAAGTTCTGACACACCCAAAATCGGAGCAGGAGCTAGGGGTGCCTCTTCGTTCAACAAATGCGGCATGGAGACATTCTGTGATTAATGGTGGTTCCGTGTAAAACCTGGGGGGGCCACATCATTCATTAAAACCACATGCACATATAATGGTATCTATCATCTCAATCATCTGCCTAGCTCAGCATCCTGGCACCGGCAAAGGAGGGACCCGAAACACTCCTCCAGCATTCCTGCCAGAAACTGGGCATGTTGCAGAGCCAAGCCCAACCTCAGCAAGCTCAATGGACCATGGGCTCGGACTCATCAGTTCAGGCTCAAAAAAGGACCGAAACGATCACAAACCACCATCCAACATCATCCAACCACCAATCACAGTCTGACAGTGCCATATATGTATATATAGATATGTGTATATATATATATGTGTGTGTGTGTATATATTATATAATAGTTTTGATACATGTTGCATCGTGTTGCATCATTTTGCTGTCGTTTTCAATTTCAGCGTCCCCAAAAATGGTGAAGAACGACTTGCGTCCCGTGCTGGGCATTCTCTCCCAGCAGGGCTCTGGCCACCTGTGGAATGGCATGCTGCTTTTGATTTCATCCATGGCCGATGGAGAACATGGATATGGGCCATCGGGGTTTTGAGCGCAGCCGAGCGTCATCTGGAGCTCTCAACGTCAAACGCTGCATCTCACCCAGCACATGCAGCACCTTCAGCCGAAAGAGCGGCCGCTCCGAGTTGGGATAATGACGGATAATCCATGTTTTCCGCACATTTCGCATACACTTCTTCAGTCCCATCCCATCCCCGGCTGATAGTTGCTGATTGGGCAGGGCCTGTGCGGGCGTCAAGGTCTCCATGAGACGCGCCACTTCTGCACGTTGAGCTTCTTCCGCTTGTGCCATCTTGGCTTTCTCTGCGGCCTGACAATCCAGTTGAGGACCTGTAGGATCCATTGCTTCAACCCAGTTCAGTGATGTTCACCCTACGTGCCTGTTGAAATACAAGAGTATACAAGGCTATAGACTTTAGACTACTTGATGGAGACATTGATATGTAGTTTTTGCAACCACTCAGAGTCGTTGTCATCATACCTGCAGTTGCAATTTTGATGGGATTCATATTGCAAATCAAAAAAGTCCAACACAGTTGATGGCCATTCTCAGCATTCTGAGACGTGATAGACTTGACAGCTGCTTTGGCCCCTGCTCGTTCCTGCCTCTTGCTCCTTTTTTCGTTGCAGTTTGTCGGCGATGGTGTCCACCTTCGGCAAGCTGCTAGGATCGATGGTGAGGCCTGCAGCAAGGCAGCTCATTTGGCCCCTTCAGAAACTCTAACACCCACAACATGACTCCTGGACAACTGAAAAAAATGATGCAATTCACAAACTCCGAAACTTACGCTCTTCATTCTTCTCAAGAGTTCTTGGGGTGCCAGCGCCAATTTTATTGATTATCCCCAAAAGCATGCGCCGTCGCACTTAATTTTTCGCATGGATTGTGCAACGAAACTTCGTGAAACAAGGTGAAACTTGTCGGATGTGGTGAGAAAATCCACGGAAAGATGTCATTTACTTGGAGCTCTTGGTCGCTCAGCCAGCGGTGACATGAGCTCGACATAACTTTGGTACCTGAGTTGCGACCAATCGGTTTTTTTATGCGGTTTGGAAAGGTTGGCATGAAGCCAAACAGAGGGATCACCGTCTCTACTAGGTGAAGACCTCATCTCGAGGTGCTGGTGACTAGTGACAAGTACTGCCAGGTTGCTTGAAGAACTCCCAGTTGCTATCCGGGGAGGAAACGAAACACTCCTCAGAATCAAGCAAAGAAAGGGATGGGAAGGATGCCAAGCCACGCACACTTGTCAACAGCCACTATGAGCTGACAATACTTAACAGAAAAATGTGCACAACATGTCAGTCATGTCATGATCAATCAACATCAATCCGAAGGTCCTTGTAGTGCTGCAGCAGTTCCTCCACTTGCGAGTCTGACACCTCCGCGTGCATGTACGTCCTGAGTGCTTCCCGGAGGTCGTGGACGCGAATCATGCCGTCGGGGGCATTTCGGGCAAAGGCTTTGAATGCCGCGGTGACATCCTCCGGCTCATAGTCGATCCTGGTGGTCACTGGTGCTCATCCCATCCCGAAACCCATCTCAAGTCAATTCATGTCAATTCTCAGGTGCCTGGGAGTCACATCATCACCATCATATATCATCATCATCATCAATCAATCAATCAAATCAATTCAGTTTAACTAAATTCAATTAAATCAAATCAATCATCATCAAGGTTCAGCACCGAAAAAACTGCATCCGAGGCACTGCATCCGCCGCGCCATGGAGTTGCAGAATTCCACGAAGTCGATCTCCCCGTTGCCGTCCATGTCGATCTCTCCAATCATGGCGTCCTCAGAGGCGAGATGGGTCGTCACCACGGTTACACACAAGTCACACAAGTATCATGTTGTCCGAGTGGCGAATCCATGTGCTCGACAGCCAATCTTTTCCAGGATTTTTGATTGAAGCTGGCACAGCCAATAAAATTGGAAGACTCCCCACTGAATGCAACCTGCTTGTGCAAAACGAGGCTCCATCTGGGAAGGGCTCAGTTTCAACCCCACCGCCTCCAAAAGCGTCTCCAGGTCGTCTGCGCCTAGTGACGTGGTTTTTTCCAGGGATGCCATCAGGAATACCAACTCATCCAAAATCTGAAATGTGTCAATTCGTGGTACAGGGTTTCATCCCTGCTGCACCTACCCTGTGCCCACGAGACAAGTGGCCAATGGTGCCCGTTTCGTTCCACTCCGCAAGGGAAATGTTACTATCCGAGCCGGCAGCAGAACGAGCCTGGCCGGGTCTTGGACCATGGCGACCTCAGGTGACCTCTCTGAAAATCAAAAAGTTAACAGCTATTAATAGGCTATTAATAGGCTATTAATAGGCTATTAATGGCTATTAATAGGCTATTAAGCTCAAGAATTATCAGAAGTGCCATCTGTAGTTTTTGCTATTCATGCCTTTCACATTCTTTTCGCCAGTGTCAAGTGCGTAACCCGCACTGAACAGTAAAGCCATCAACGTACTGAAACGTTGCCTGGCTAAGCTGCTTGAAGAGGCAAAAGATTTGTCCTCAGCCGTGAGCTAGCAATGTTCTGGTATCTGATCAAAGGCTCAAAGAAAACAATGAAATGCCCGCTGAGCAGACAGAATGGACCCTGGCAATAAACTCATTCATGGACCTCAGAACAAAAGGCCCAACAACCTTTTCCTCATCTGCCCATATCTGCCCAGTCTATCGGTTTCAGTCATGTGGCTGAATTCCTCTTTGTCTTCCTCCGTGATGCCACGTTTTTTGGTGACTTTTTCTTCTTGCACTGCCTGCAGTGTCGAAATCCGAATCCCTCAGATCCATCTGGCAGCAATCCTCCGGTCACAACAGTTATCCAATTACAGATGTTGGCCCCGTTGAGGATGTCGTTTTTTTCACTGTATGCCGATGTTATTCCCATTCTTGCCTAGTTGTACCCCCTTTTCGTTGTTGATACCTCATTCTTTTCCATGAAATCCCGAATTTTGCTATTCATCCACTAACCACCCACCAACCGTAGCGGTTTGCCGCTCCTGCCGTTCCTTCTTGGAGGGCAGCTTCTCAGCCGCCCGCATGGCACGGTCAAACTCTTTGACGCTGACCTCACCGCCTCCGTCTTTGTCCTGGGTCAAAGCAGCCCCAGTTGGAGTAGTTGGGATTCCCAGCATGTCATATTGTCATACCTGGAATCATTCAGGCGCAAAACCATGTAACTACGTGAAACAGTTGTCTTAAGGTTATGAGTTTGGGAAAATTGAAGTTTGATCATTGTTTGAAACATCAAACGGAGACCACACAACACCTCTTGTAAGTCCGTCAAAGGCTGTGTTTGCAAGTAAAGCGACAAGGGGTGTAAGTGGGTAGAACTCAGGACGTGCCATCCAAGGCACCTTCGGTCACCTTTGATGCAAGGCATCCCCCTTACCCTCTGGTAATTTAACATAGCTATTGAAAATCACCATTTTTAATGGGAAAATCCACTATAAATGGTGATTTTCAATAGCTATGTTAGTTTACCAGAGGGTACATTGCCATCTACCCACCAAAATATCCCACAGTCCGCATCCCAGGAGCAATGACCGCCATGATGGACGTGAGATCTGCATCCGTCAGCTTGAAGCCCAGGTCGTGCAAACCCATCCGCAGCTCCTCTCCGGTGACATTGCCTCATATGAAACAGGGCGGGTAGATTCTTTGAGGCGGGGATGAAGGAAATATAATGAAATATATCACTTGTTTCAACTGAGATTTCTGAGTTGAGAGCAGATTTGAGCTGTTGTCTGTACTGGCATTTTCCACCATTCCTTAAGGATCCTTAATCCAAAGATTACGTTTCTCATGGCGCTGGTGCATCAATATCTCAAAGGATGCCATGGAACCGTCGCCACTGGCGTCGATCTTCTTAAAGAGGTCACTAGCACGCAGCCTGCCGGCGGAGATCCCCTGGGCACCAAACTGGCGAAACCGGGGAATGATCTGGAAATTTTATATGATGGAGACGATGTGTCTATAATGGAGTATCGATTAATGACCTTATTTCAACTTATTTAAACTTATTTATATAATTGGATTGGGATCCATGCAATTGACCTTGAAGTTCATGTTCAAAGGAGCTATGAGGTGATAGAGATTGGCGTTGATAATAGTATTGATCGGTGAGAGCCAGCTGCTCCCAACTCGTTCATGCACCTCTTCTTCTTCAGAAGTTCTGCGACGCTTTTCATTAGCTCCTTGCTGACACAGATCATTAAGGAATTTCAAACCTAAAACTGCGTTCTTAAACTGGTGAGGCCGCGATCAACTTAAGACTGTAAGAAACCCATTCTACCATTCTACCTTCAACCAGTTTCTACACAGGTGTATCCCCTCAATTCCTCCACTCTCTTCCCATCAGTGGATTTTTGTTATGGAGACATGGCCGTCCTCTGCGTGGCTGGTGAAGTGGGGCACCGTTTCCACCACCTTCGGCGGCGGCGCATCGGAGATCCCCATGGCCGCCAGCGCCGCTTTGTCCCCCATGGCCTGTCACAACGCGCAGAGCTGTCGTTAAAAACCAGGGAAATTAAATTTAGAAAAACAGGGAATGAACGTGTGAAAACCGAAATGCCATGGAAATGATATGAAATGCCTCCATCTATATCTCGACCTTCAATGATTGAACTTGATTCAACCGGAATCTTCGTGTGAAAATTAGAATTTCCAAGGCATTCCAGCCGTTCCACTTCCAGCCCAGTTGCCGCTACGGCTCTCCAGGCACTGGGGCGCAATGTCGCTGAGCCAGTGGCAATGGACGGACAAGTGTTTTTTTTCCGCACCAAGCCGTTTCCATTGGGTTAAGCCCTCAAGCCGTGTTCCATCTTTGAATCAGTTTTTAAATTCAAGTGGCAAAGAAAAGGAACTGCTGATTTTCAAGCATTCATGACATTCACGTTCGTGCAATCTCTTTCCTATCGCGGGGATTTCCCACACGCCTTTGCCACCACCTTTGCCCTTGCTAAGGCCTGGCCCATCCTGCCCGCGGTTGAGCTGACGAACATTTCTCGTGACATCATCCTTCCCTGTCAACCACAATTAATTTGCGAAGGATGCGAAGGTAAATCTGGAATCATCCTGGGATATTCTATCAGAAATCCCAAGGGCCAATCGACTCCCAAACTTTTTGACCCGCCGCTAGTCCTCCCTGAAAGGATTGTGCAGCTCACGTTCGGCTGCCTTGAATCAAAACAAAGCTGCGGAAAACTGTTCCAAAAATGATGCTGACAGCATTAGGACGAAGCTGCACCACAAGAATCAACAAATTGACCACTGCGATGCTCTCCTAAACATCCTAAACTTGTAGCGGCAAATCTCCGTTCCCTGCTGCTCCCATGCAACAATTCTCAACTTGGCCATCCAACGTCTATCCTCAGCTTGCGACCTCAGTAGAGTGGGCCAAGCTGCGGAAAACATTCCATCTCAAAACTAGAGACATTTGCTATATCTGTTTGTCTACACATGGAAATTTGGCTATGTTTGCCTCTGTTTAGCTATGTTGATTTGAATGATCCACAGGGGTGGAGAAAAGTGGATGGCCCGCACATTTTTTGCTCATTACTGATCCCCTTCAGAATGACGATGAGCTGGAACTTGGGGCATCCAAGTTCCATTAGCAGGTGCTCATGGTCATCACCATGGCATTTCAGGAGTTGGATGTGCCTGAAACTGAAAATATAAAATATATTTAAATATACTATACCCCAAAATTGCCACCTTCAATGGGGAATGTAAAGATTAACCATTGGATTTTGGCTCCAAATGTTCACCATGGCACCGTTGTACTCCACGTGGTTCAACTTCTCCACCGCCGCCTGCACGGAGGCGGGGTCCGCGAAGTCCGCGAAGGCGTAGCCTTTGGGCGTCTTGGTGTCCTACGGAACCGGAGAAACGCAAGGACCGATTCGGTGTCAGGGCAGAATGTCCGTGAAATCAAAGGATGTGAAAATCAGAATCTTAAAAAACTATAAAATCTGAGCCAACTAATAGCGTCCGAAAAAAAAAAAAACAGAAACTCTGCAACAACATCTGCCAATCAAGAAATGTTGTGTGTTGGGCGGGTCTGCGGGTCCTTGTCCAAAACCAGGCGCACCGATGTGACGTTGCCCACTTTGCCAAAGAGCTCTTTTAGCTCATCTTCCTGGGCCTCAGCTGACAAACGACTGTTGGTCTACATATAGTATACGCAGGATACCTATGGATAACTGGGTTCCTAATGGTGTTTCTGATGGGTTTGACATGAGTTTTTACCATGGTTTCAAGGATTGTTGATGGTGTTCGTTCTTGAGACTCCTTGTTACCTCCCTAAGATGCGGGCATCGTACGGCACATTGCCGACGAAGATGGAGCAGCTTGCACCTCAGATTGGTCTTCAGCCACATAATTGCAAATAATTGCACATAATTTTCTCGCATTCTCGCGCTTTTCACATTTAAGATTCAATATGATTCCTTGAATTGCATTTTCACCTTCGGACTGCTGCCATGAGAGCCAACCAAAGATTTCTGGCAAGTACTGCATCAAACAGCCCGCCACCAAAATCACAGGTGATGCAGGCCAACCTCTGAAAGGAAGAAAGGACCGTTCTTCCTCCGGTTGCTTCAAGTAGACTGGCATCTTGCCCATTCTCCAAAATTCTGCACTGCACCCGAGCCCGCTAGGGCTGCCCGGCTCATCGACGCCGGCACACGACTCAGCGCCATGTCGACAGGACATCGCAGCAAATCTTCCAGCTGCGAACTACGCTGTGAGCCCGAGGAACATCACGAAATGCTGGATTTACAGGTTGAACAGATTTGAACAGGCTCAGAGTTCTGAACTGCTGACCTAATAGAATGAGGGCTTCTGCGCCATGGAAGGCTACATTAACATACATGAACTGGAAAAATCGTTGGGGAGATAGACAATGGTTCCAAAAGGATGATACTTCGCTGTGTTAACCATCCAAGAGCTCGAATCATCTCGAATCCATGAAGCAATCGGGCGAAACTGTACCAACTGTGGCCACTTTGGTATCTTTTCCTCGTGCGACGAGATGAAGCTGTTGCTGAGGCATCAATAGAACCATGTAGTGATTGCCTCACAGAGCTCATGGGCAAACCCAAATGACATCAAAGGACTATACAAGCATGGCCCAGCATAGCCAAACTTTGACGATGGCAAGTTTGAAGGGTCATCCGCGAGTGTCCAAAGTTTCTTCTGCAAAACTTGCTGCATCTGTCTGGGCCATGTTTTTCATGCTCAGATCGATTTCTTACTTCAAAAGAAAGTGATAGTAGCAATTTGGACAGGGGATATCTGGGCTTCCCAAACCTCAAACTGCAGGCATGTGTGTCTGTGTGTCCCACAGTCTCCTCCCGACTCATGTTTGCCCAAGTGGCCAGTCGCTCGGCATAGGCTGGGAGAACCTGACACTGTGCTTGAAGGTTGTGAGGGTGATCTGAAGTGCAGCAGTGCAACAGCTCATCATGCAAAAAGGGTCAATGTGGTCGGAAACAAAATGCAAAACAGGATCTTCCCTGTGTGATTTGGAAGAAAAGCACTCTTGATTTTTTTCTACGCATCATGTGAAGTGAGATTGCGGGATGCAGCGTCAGAAACTGAGCCATGTCTTAGCATCCGTGGCTTTTGCGCCGCTTCTTTCCAGGCTTCACCCTGGACTTCACGGCCTTCTCCTTCTCCTCCTTTTCCTTCTCCTGCTTCCTCGATGCCACAGCCACGTTGAAAGAGCGCTCCAGCTCTAGGTCCGAGTGGTCTTTGGGCTTCACCCTGAAATGGGAACCGCGATACCTTGCAGGCTGAAGCTCATTGGCTCCAAAACACGCCACAAATGCACTTCCTACTGCCTTTCAAAGGGATGGAGACCCACCATTTTTGTCTCTGCTTCCTCCACTTGGCTTTTCGCTGGTGAAGTTGGGGTGCCTTGGTTGCGGCTTTGGCTCGCTGAGGATGCCTTCTCCACCAGCTCAGCGCGGAAGGCCTTGGCGGCCTCGAGAGCTGCTGCGTCGGCCTGGGCCTTCGGAGATGCCGGGGCCCGTGAAATTTTTACACTCACAATTGCCGTTCCAGCGGATATTTGGAATTCCACTGCAACTGGGGCTTGTGTGATCCTTTCGTCTGAATGTCTCAACTCCTCTGCAGCTGCCCCCACAGATTCAAAGACTTCCACGCCTTACATGGCATTGCTGCCGCCTGAGGATGAGAGCTGCTGGAGACCGTTCTCATTGAAAGCCCAACCATGACCCGCCCAAACAGAAGTGGGCAGGTCCCTCATCCAAGGCCACATCTTCATGCAATCCAGGCTGCTTTCCATCTCCATCCTCCCTTGCTGTGAGTCTTGGGGATGGACTTGTGCCTAGCAATTGCTGAGCTCAGTCCATCTGTCTGCAGTGTCATTTGCATATCGCGCGCCGGTCAAACGGCGCCGCTTGGCCGGTTTGGATTCTGGCTCAGCTGTCGCTTGACTCCTTGCAGGTATCATGCTCTGCTCTGGTACCATCTCCTCAGTTGCAACTTTGTATCCGCAGCTTGTAAGATTTTGAGGTTGCTCATCCGCAGTCTCATCTTCCACCCGGACATCCTGAAGAGGGACAATCAAAACTCGGGAACATCCTCCCCTCCCCTGGGCTCTCAGGAACCACATTTCGCTCAGAAGACAATCAGCAATCCCTCTTGTTGTTGAGCTTGGCCCCTCTATTTGCGTAGTCGTTTTCACATCGCGACTCATCAAAGGCCCCCGTTCGGCAGCACATGGTGCCTGAAGTGATTTCATGGTTCCAGATGTGTTTTGCTAGGATTCAAGTTCTCAGGCACACCTTTGTGGTGCCACCCGGTCTGGTTTGCTTTGGTCGTAGAGCCCAAAATGGCAGCGACCATGGGACTTTGAATCCATTCCGGCAAACAGGTTCATCTGAAAATCTAAGTGAGAGCAGCTTCCAAAGCAGAGTCTTTTCAAATGCTCCCTCGCCTCGTGTTCCAGCCATTCGCTGCTGAAAAGCACAAGTCGATCTTCCAGCGGTTCCACATCGAAGTGATAAACCTCCGGATCACACTGATCACACTGAAGATTAGGACCGGCCCACTTCAACTTCTAACGCGCGGGGGTAAGGGAAACTCTGAAATACCTAGGGTTCAAGTGGCAGTATGCCTGGACTCAACCAACCACAGGTCCAATCTCCAACAACTTGATTCTTTTTAGCACACATCCTTTTTTTTTTACAAATATATATATATATATATATATCAGCTCGAATGACTCGAACAGTTCCATGATGTTCTGCGCTCCCTTTTCATTCCAACCCGTCATGCGCCACGCAGGCGCGGTGCCAATGGCTCACGGAAACGCTTCGTTGCATCGGCCACAGGAGGAACGACAAGGGCATCACTGCCATCGGACATGGGGCAAGTGCCTTAGCTGGAAATCAGACCCCGGACTCCTTGAGACCAAGAATCTGCTGCTTGGAAGCTGGAAACGAGCATCACCAGTCGTGCCTCTACTGTGTTCCGTTTCCTTGGCATGGTATCGGACTCTAAACGTGTACTTTCAATATCTTTCAATGGTCTCTGCCAAGCAGCGAGGGCATTTCTGCAGAACCAGCAGCGCCGAGCTTCTCGCCCGCGGCCTCATTGCAAACTCCGAACCTGGCAGCTTGGAGTCATCAGAAATGGCCTTGGGATCATCCCTTTGCCCTACGCGACCTCCAGCAGTTCGCGGAGTGCTCCGTCGTTTGACCGAGAAGGTGCAGCGGGTGGCAGCCAAAGGGTAGAGCTCTACCAACCTGCTCAATATAGGCTGGAGAATGTTGAACAGTGTTGAATTATTGGAATTTTGGTGTTTAATTGAACAGTGTTGAATATAGTTGGAGAATTCATGAGAATTCCCAATAATTGAACAGTATCTCAATGTTGAATTGTCCAACTTTTCTTCAGGCACATCTTCAGTGAGATCATCCCCCTGCGCCTTTGTGGCGACAGCTCTCGAACATCTTCTGCTGGGGCATCTTCGTGGTTTCTGAAGAACTCGTGGACCACTCGCCTGCGACACACGAAGACACCCTCTGGTAAACAAACATTGCTCTCCAACCAAAGAAAAACTGGCTTGAAGGAAAACTCATCTAGAAAGTGATAAACTCATATAAACTCCATATATTTCCATAGTGCCTGGTTTTCCGTTCCCTTGGATTACCAAAGAATGCGTACCACGATTTCATATGCAAACATTCTGCTATCACCCTGGCCTCTCAGGTGGGCTGAACGTGAGCACGGCACACCTGCCGCCCATCTTCAGAAGGTTCATGGCACCAACTAAGCCTTCCAGCGGTGAGGGAAATTAACAAAGGCACGGCCAGGTGGAAATAGAGACACACATGCCATCAGTTCTTTCCTGCTATGAGTCTGATTTTTGGCAGTGAAACCTGCACTTGGCAAGTTGACATCCACCATGGATAGCATTCTCCTTACAAACCTCGTACCGAGAAACCTCAAGGAAGTGCTGAACAAAATTGATAAGTCCATCAGTTGAGAAGTTCGGTGATCACTGCCTTCCTCCAGCTGTTGCAGCTCTCCTTAAGGGGAAGGGTGAAAAGGACTGCATCTGAAGATGACATGATGTCGTTCCCAACCTTGTAATATAAACCCATGAGGCCCCCCTCAACCTGGACACCGGATCTTGGGAAGTTTCATGATGCTTTCATGCTACAGTTCAACCATGAAGACTCTGACGAGCCGCTGTTGAGGAAGACGCGGATGCCATTGAGTGTCTTCTTCGCTGGATTCACCTGGCACATGACAAAACTTGCCAACGGCCAACGAACCATGTAAAGGGGAGTACTCCTGGCCCATCCTCGCCTGATTCATGTACTTCCCAGGCCTAGGCCCATCCAAGGGGAAACTCCAGCGCTTTACGGCTTTGATTACCTGCCAGGCAATGGTCTCCGTGTGGAAATCGATGCTAAATGCATCCGCCTAACGCAAGTAATATGGTAATCAAACTTGTCACCCTGAAACATACTTGGGAGATCTATCGGGTGTGCATGGATTTGCCCCTCCCCATCGAGATGTAAGTGCGCATATGTAGCCTGGCCCTAGTCCCTCCTGCCTTAGATACCTTCTGGATACCATGGTGCACATATAGACAAACCGATATAGCCCCAGTTAAACGCGCTGCACTGGCTACATCCAGTGATAAACCATCCCAAAAACCAAGCACGTGGGTGCCTTTTTCTATCATCCCAAACAGCGGTATGACTACCGTATGACTACAAACAAAGCCAACCTTGGGAGTGGTTTACCATTTAAGTTTACCATAATTTGCCTCAATCACTTCAATCACTCACCATATCCAGGCCAAATGGATCCCGACGGATCCCATGGCATCGTGGCCTCGGCCAACTCCCCGGTGCTGCGATAGGATCGCCCTCTTTGGCGCTGGTGCCGCAGCACGCGCTCAGCGATTCGGTCGGAGATCACCGGATCGTCCTGAAGATCTCGTAGTGATCACCACAGGTCGGAGATCACTATGGACCATGGTCAACTATTGTCCTTATAAACCTATAGTCAACTACCTATAGTGATCACTATTGTCAATCTTATAAACCTATAGTGAGGAAGAAGTGAATGAGAATCGTTTGGGGAGCCAGCAGTGCTGTGTTTATTAGTCTGTATCATTCAACTTGTAACACCACCAAGTCCTCACCATAGGTGTAGATCACCCAAGCCAATTCCTGCCACGAAAGCAGCATCGAAATTCTCGCAGACTTCGCAAACACTCAGCCCGAGCTCCTCCACTGAAACTTCTTGCAGCCAATCAGCAGCTGGCACTCCATGAGAAGGATTCAAACCTGATATTGGGACTTCAAGTTGAACAGCTAGCGCAGCTAGTTCATAACTACATAAAACTACACACTTAACTTGGACATGTAATTTGATGGAGGATCTGCCGTCGAGAGTGCGAACAACTTTGAGGGGACGATCTGTCTGCCGAGCAACGCAAGTCCAAGGGTGTGTCATCTGAAATCCGCAAGTCATCTTCCGCCTTTCCGCGCTTTCCGCGGTGCTTTGGTGAGACACTTCATCTTTTTTGGAGGTTGGATTAATACTCCATCTGGAACCAGCTTCAGGATCCAGTCCCCTTGCAGTCCCTGCCTGGTTGTTGGAGACACCCAGATCCATGAGCACCCCATCCACCTCCTCGCCCTGAAGCGCTTCCTCCATCTCACCAAAGGGTCGATGGAAGATCTTGAAACCTGAAGGCACCAAGGGCATCCCAGAAACCAATGGATGTAGGCGTAGCCTGAAGCACCAGAAGATAAGGACACCGATCCACTTCTTTCATCTTACTTTAAGGTCGAACCCTAAGCCCCTTTCCACTGCATAAGAACCCCCAAGGGGTTGCTGATTTTTTTATTGTTGGTTAATATCTGGCCTTGATGCCTAGAATTCAATGGTTCAGGAATGCTTTATCGTAGGCCTTATCATCATTTTCCGCATTAAAAATTGCCATATAATGGGTGGGTCATTAAAGTATCTATACTTCATACTTCAATGTTGTTGGTTAAAGTAATTTCACGTTCTGTTCTGCTGATACTAAATTTAAGGATATCCCATGTTGCCCATGTTTACGGGGACCAACTGCTGCCACAAAGACGTGGATCCTCCTCCTCCAGCGCTCGCGCCACCTCGATGGCTCGCGGGTCCACGTCGAAGGCCCTCAGGCGACCCGTGGGTGCCAGCCGCGCCTCGGATGATGCGCCATGCATCTACAAGTAAAAAATATATCTCTCCATTGCAGGTATGCATGGCTGATGGAGATCATAGATACTCAATGATCTTGTTGAGTTCTGCAACTCTTTGGGCGGCCCAACCAGCACTGAGCGAGAATGGCCACCACGGCCGAAGGTGCCATCGACGTAAAGCCCCTCTGCCAAGGTCCCCATCATTGTCCCCAGCACAGCATCTACAGATTCCGACTCCTGGCAGCGACCAAATGCAAATGCAAAATGGCAATTCACGTGGAATGTGCGAGTCCTTGCCGCTGTGAATCTACAAACGCAAACATCTCCGAACCGAAAGCCAATGCAATCTTTGGGGATATGGGATTTACTTGGAGGGATCAAAGCTGAATGGGCCCAAAATTGAAATACACCAATCATGGCGAGCCTTGAGTCCCCGTTTGGCAAGTTGCTTTCCAAAGGCTACGGAAGTGGCTTTTATGGCCAACTCCCCAGATTTAACATGCACGTGTTTTCCCAAAAAAATGATAATAATGGTTTCCATTGAAAATATTGGATAAACAATATTGGAAAATGGAAAAATGGAAAAATTAGGTTTGGGTAATCAATTTCCCACCATTATTATCAATTATTTTGGGTAATCAACATGCAATGGAAACCCCATTGAAACTGCAGTTTTAGGGTAATACGTCATTCTGGACCAACCCACGCCGCCAACTTCAATGCCCAACACCGCCCCGGTGCCTGCACGGGCACATGTCCAACCTCCGCCGCATGGCTCCGGCGTCTCAGGTCCTCCTTGCGCATGGCCTGCACGGCCTGCGAAAATGGGCCAACTAGCCAAAGTGCCATGTGCATTTTTACATATCAAAAACCGCCTGATTTTTATTAAGAAATTAACCCAGCTTTGCAACCCAACAGCATACCTGAATCTTCCACCTACGTCTTTTTTCAGACCCTGTGCCAAAGTCCTGTTTTTTCAGTACCCAGAAAACTTTTCAGGACCTACTCTCAAATTCAGGACCTGGCCATTTTGGGGTATCAATGGTAATGGCAATCATTGGGTGCAAACATGTGAAACCAACATTTGGTGGATATTCAAGCCATTGGCATTGATCCACGCAAATAAAAGCACTCCCAGCCCAAACTCATGGCAAGGCAGGATCAGAATATAGTATATTCCAGAAAGTATGTCAGAATAGATGCCAGATAGGATGCCAGAAAGAATGTCAAATAGAATCTCAGAAAAGAATGTAAGATAGTATGTCAGAACATATATGCCACATATACGTCCAGATGATATGTCAGAAACTATGTCAGAATAGTGTGTCAGGGTGGGGATCACTCTTAGTAAGGCAATTTTGAAAATATATTTCAGGTTCGGAATTTTCAAACTGTTGTCCTTCAGGCGCCGAAGCTCCCGTTGAAGGTCAGCATCGCCCCATGTCAACTGGTCCAGTCCCACTTCCATTTCAACAAGTCCAACTTCATCGATTAGGGTGTTGGTTGAATGGACTTGGGACTCTAGCTGGCACGGCATCCCTTGTAACCCTGTAGACACTGTAGTGGGCAAAAAGATTGTAACACACAGAATCAGCATCATTTTGATCAGGCATTCTTTTTGCTAATCCTTTCTCCCTATTACGAAAAATACCCCCAAATGACAAAAACTAGGTGCGATTTCCAATTTTGGGAAATGTCAAATTGGTTAATCTGATTTTTAATTGATCCCCTTGAGGAAACAATTTTAAAAATGAAGGTACCATGTGAGGGTTTCACCCCCAAAGAATAAAAAACTAGTCAACACCGGGGTGTCTTTTATTGGGGTCCGTCCTTTAAAATCGTCAATTTTAGTTTTTTTAATTCAGGTGTTGGTGTTTTATTTGATACTAGGCGAAAGCTTCGAAATCCTATTCTTGGCAGTATTCTATTTAAAGATTATTTTCATGGATTTTGAAATTAGAAACAAAAAACGGTTTAATCCCTTCCCCCTGTTGCTAAACAGTCGCCCCTTCACCCACCCACCCAAATAACAAACACCTGGAGGAGTTTTTAGTATTGGGGGGGTCTTTAGTATTAGGGTACGAAGCTTCCCCCTAATACTGATAAAAAACACACACATATATATATATACATATTTCTATTTCAAAATCGATCAGATTTCTTTCTTTTTAAATCCAATTAAAATATGGCAAACAAGTGGATTCCGAAGCTTAATATCAAATAAAAACCCCCAACATAAAAAAAAAAAAACTATGTATGTTTTTCTATTTCGAAATCGATTAGATTGCCTTTTAAAAATTAAATAAAATATGGCCAAAAAATTGGATGTCGAAGTTTTTCCCTTATATTAAACCCTAATATCATTTTGTTTTTTTCTTTTCAAAATCGATTAGATTTCCTTTTGAAATCTAATGAAAAAAACAAAAAATTGATTTTGAAGCTTTCCCCTAATATCAAATTAAAATCCAATTATTAAAATATGTTCAAAAATTGGATTTCGATGCTTCCCCTAATCTTGCATGAAAAATTCCAATATAAAAAACTAAATTTGTTCTATTTCAGAATCGATTAGATTTCCTTGTAAATTCAAATTAAGATATTGCCAGAAATTGGATTTCGAAGCTTTCCCCTCATATTAAACCCTCATATCAAAGACTATTTTTTCTATATCAAAATTCATTAGATTTCCTTTTGAAATCTAATTAGAATATGGTCAAAAATTGGATTTTGAAGTTTTCCCCTAATATTACATTAAAAAACCCTAATATAAAATATTATTTTTCCTTTTTTGAAATCGATTCGATTTCCTTTTAAATTGTAGTAACAAAAATAAAAACAAAAACCGGATTTCGAAATGTTTCCTCTAATATTAAATTACCAGCCCTAATATATTTATTAAAAAAAACTGTTTCAAAATCGATTAGTTTTCTGTTTAACATATAATTAAGATATTGCTAAAAATTGGATTTCGAAGTTTTCCCCTAAGGTTAAATTAAAAACACTAATAAAAAAACTATGTTCTTTCGATTTCAAGAATCGATTAGATTTCCTTTTGACATCCAGCAAAAATATTGCCAGGAAATGCCAAAAAGTTGATTTCAAAGTTTTCCCCCAATATTATATAAACGTTGTAATATAAAATACTTATTTTTTCGACCTTAAAAGACCCTAGTTTAAAAAAATCACCGGGGCTGACTAGTTTTTTTTTTTGGTGGTGAAATCCTGAAATGGGACCTTCATGTTTAATTTGTTTTTGAAAAGGTATCAATTAAAAGTCAAACTGGCCAGCCTGAAATTTTCCAAAATTTAACGCGGACCCTAGTAAAAGGAATCAATGTAATATTTTAGTATTTAGGGTACGTTTAGTAAAAGGAGGTGGGGATTAGTAAGGTTTTCAATTTAATATAAGGGGAAGCTTCGAAATCCAATTTGGCAAGATTTGAGTTAGATTTTGAATAGGAATTCAATCGGTTTTGAAATATAAAGTTCATTTTTTAAAACGAATGTTTTCAATTTAATGTCAGGGGGAAGCTTCGGAATCCAATTTTGGCAATATTTTAGTTAGATGTTATTTAAAAAATGTTTTCCAATTTAGTTTTTCCCCAACAGCAGAATGCTTTGGGGTCTTCAGCCATAGTAAAGGTTTCGGAGCAGACCGGAGCAGCTCCAAAACCCATTCCCCCAAGGTTCCCAGGTTCCAAGTAAAGGTTCCCAAGTAAAGGTTCCCAAGTAAAGGTTCCCAGGTTCCCAAGTAAAGGTTCCCAGGTTCCCAAGTAAAGGTTCCCAAGTAAAGGTTCCCAAGTAAAGGTTCCCAAGGTTCCCAAGGTTCCCAAGGTTCGCTCAAGGTTCCCAAGGTTCCCAAGGTTCGCTCAAGGTTCCCAAGGTTCCCAAGGTTCCTCAAGGTTCCCTCACGGTTCCCAAAAGGTTCCCAAAAGGTTCCCTCAAGGTTCCTTCAGGGTTCCCTGCAAGGATCCCAAGTTTTCCAAGTAAAGGTTGTCAAGGTTCCCAAGATTATTATGTAAAGGTTCCCAAGTAAACCTGGTCCAGGTTCCCAAGGTGACATTGTAAAGGTTTCTAAAAGATTCCCAAGGTTAGATTGTCAAGGTTCCCTCAAGGTTCCCAAAAGGTACCCTCAAGGTTCCTTCAAGGTTTCTTCAAGGTTCCCTGAAGGTTCCCAAGTTTTCCAAGGTTCCCAAGGTTGTATTGTAAAGGTTCCTTCAAGGTTCCCAAGGTTACATTGTAAAAGGTTCTCAAGGGTTCCAAGGTTATATTGTCAAGGTTTCCTCAAGATTGTAAAGGTTCCCTCAAGATTCCCAAGTTTCCCAAGTAAAGGTTGTCAAGGTTCCCAAGGTTGTATTGTAAAGGTTCCCTCAAGGTTCCCAAGTTTTCCACGTAAATATTCTCAAGGTCCCCAAGGTTATTATGTAAAGGTTCCCAAGTACAGTAGTAATATTCGTCGTAATATATAAATTTCTTGAAGATATTTGAATGCGGCTACAAGCGCGGAACCCGCGCAGAACAACACGCGCGGAACCCGCGCAAAACGCAGACGCGCATAACGCGCATAACGCGCGGAAACCGCGCGAAACGTAGACGCGTGGAACCCGCGCGTACTATTAATACTTCTAGTAGTAGTAGTAGTAGTAGTAGTAGTAGTAGTAGTAGTAGTAGAAGTAGAAGTAGAAGTAGAAGTAGAAGTAGAAGTAGTAGTAGAAGTAGTAGTAGTAGTAGTAGGAGCAGTAGTAGTAGTAGTAGTACTAGTACTAGTATTAGTACTAGTACTAGTACTAGTATTAGTAGTAGTAGCAGCAGTAGTAGTAGTAGTAATATTAGTAGTAGTAGTAGTAGTGGTAGTAGTGGTAGTAGTAGTAGTAGTAATATTAGTAGTAGTAGTAGTGGTAGTAGTAGTAGTAGCAGTAGTAGTAATAAAATCGCAGATGCAGTAGAAATGATACTAATCGTCATATTGATTAAATTATAATTAGTAAAAATAGTAATAAATAATGTTCATCGTTAAATATGATTTTTTCTTAGAGAAATTTGAATGCGACACCGCGCGTGGAACCCGAGCAGAACAACACGCGCGGAACCCGCGCGGAACGCAAACGCGCATGACGCGCGAAACCCGTGCGAAACGCAGACGCGCGGAACCCGCGCGTATTATTACTACTTCTCGTACTAATAATAATAGTAGTAGATGAATAGTAGAAATTATACTAATCGTAGTACTGATTAAATTACGATTAGTAGAAGTAGCAGTGATTTTCATCGTAATATATGAATTTCTTCAAGAAATTTAAATGCGGCTACACGCGCGGAACCCGCGCAAAACAACACGTGCGGATACCGCGCAAAAAAAACGCGCTAAACGCGCGCGTACTATTAATACTTCTAGTAGTAGTACTAGTAGTAGTAGTAGTAGTAGTAGTAGAAGTAGAAGTAGAAGTAGTAGTAGAAGTAGAAGTAGGAGTAGGAGTAGGAGTAGGAGTAGGAGTAGAAGTAGAAGTAGAAGTAGAAGTAGTAGTAGTAGTAGTAGTATCAGTAGTAGTAGTAGTAGTAGTAGTAGTAGTAGTAGTAATAGTAGTAGTAGTAGCAGTAGCAGTAGCAGTAGCAGTAGCACTAGCACTAGCAGTAGCAGTAATAGGAGTAGTAATATTATCGCAAATGTAGTAGAAAAGATACTAATCGTAAAATTGATTAAATTATAATTAGTAAAAGTAGTAGTAATATCCGTCGTAAAATATTAATTTCTTGAAAAAAAATTGAATGCGACGACCAACGCGGAACCCGCAGAGAACAACATGCGCGAAACGCAGACGC